TTTAATTAATTTTTAATTCTTTATGATGTGAAACAAAACAAGGTCAGCAATGACAGGTTATCCTTAAAGGTAATAAGACTTCCCTTCTTTCCAGCCCTGCCTCCAATCCGACGTAATCAGGATTTATGATTTCAGCCAATCTAGTGCTTTCCCATAGGGAAAGCATTCAAGCACTGCCGTTCAGCGGTTCCAAACACCAGCTTTGCCAGTCAGCATCTCCTCATATAGATGCATTGAATCAAGTTCAGCGTCTCCATGCAGAACGTGGAGAGGCAGAATAGCACTGCTGTAATTGTTCTTGTGCCTTGTCCCTTTAAGTAACTAAGGAAACTGGTACAAAATAAAAATAAAACTGAAATAAAAAATGGGTATTTATCAGGCATTAGTCCCTGTGGGAACTTGGTGAGGTCTTGCATGTAACTAACTGTCCAGCATTCCAGGGCACCATCCTTCAGAGGATTCAGCATGCATTTCTTCTTCTTTGTAACCTCTGATCTGAAGCCCATATCCTGCTCCAGGCCAATGTCAGTAGTTACCGGGGTCATTGTTGCTCCCTCTGTAGGGGAGTAGATCTGTGGCAGTTGTAGTGCTCTCAGAAATTCTGTGGGGTCCTCTGTTGCAGACAAAAGTAGAATGATATTGCCATGCAGCACTACAAGGGTACCCTATGCTCCCCAATGCTAGCTGGTGCCATGCTCACGTAAGTGCCTGTTTAGGGTCTGAAAGCTTTTTCTCTCCAACAGGATCAAAAATGGTAAATCATTGTAGATTTAAATTTGGACACAGTAGTTGTAGGTGAGCTCTGAGAGCAGACCAAAATAGTCGTCTTGACTGAAATGTCCATGGTAATAGAAATAATATCCATGTGAGCATCCACAGGGGCAGTTGGTCGGCTTCAGAATTGGAAATGCCGATATAATGGCCAAGACATCTGCATCTCTTTTCACCCCCATCGCCACTTTGTAAATGAACTTGAGCATGGCTCCCTGGCCTATGTGTTTGGGCACTTCGCGGATGTGCACATTTCTCCTGTGGTGCTGCGTTTCCAGTGCAGTTACCGTGCAAGTTAGTCTCTGGAGTTGCTAGGGCAAAGTTTCTACTTATTACCAAGTGTACAAGTACAAGTACATTAGAATGAAATTACATAATGACTGAACGAGTAGAACAACAAATTTGCATAAAAGGTTGGGTTAAGCTTGAACATTCCTCCACTCAAATGATTCAGAAAGCTTTTGGGGACATGGAAACATAGAATGTGACGGCAGATAAGAACCATTCGGCCCATCTTGTCTGCTCAATTTTTTAAATACTTTCATTAGTCACTGGCCTTATCTTATAGTTAAGATAGCTTTATGCATATCCCACGCATGCTTAAACTCCTTTACTGTGTTAACCTCTACCACTTCAGCTTGAAGGCTTTTCCATGCATCCACTACCCTCTAAGTAAGTAATACTTCCTGATATTATTCTTAAACCTTTGTCCCTCTCAGTGGCGTACACATGACCCATGGGGCCCCGGTGCGAAAATTGATCCGTGGGCCCCCCCTGCTCGCGGGCCGGGCCGCAACACATGGCGGTGTGCACCTGGTCGCAGGGGTTACAGGGCTGCGACCCCTGCGACCGCGGTATGTACGCCAGTGCATGCAGATGCACACACACTTAAAGGACCACTCTAGGCACCCAGACCACTTCAGCTTAATGAAGTGTCTGGGTGCCAGGTCCAGCTAGGGTTAACCCATTTTTTCATAAACATAGCAGTTTCAGAGAAACTGCTATGTTTATGAATAGGTTAAGCCTTCCCCTATTTCCTCTAGCGGCTGTCTCATTGACAGCCGCTAGAGGCGCTTGCGTGCTTCTTACTGTGATTTTCACAGTGAGAGCACGCCAGCGTCCATAGGAAAGCATTATGAATGCTTTCCTATGTGACCGGCTGAATGCGCGCGCAGCTCTTGCCGCGCGTGCGCATACAGCTGACGGGGAGGAGAAGAGGAGGATTGGAGGAGGAGAGCTCTCCACCCAGCGCTGGAAAAAGGTAAGTTTTACCCCTTTTCCCCTTTCCAGAGCTGGGCGGGAGGGGGCCCCTGAGGGTGGGGGCACCCTCAGGGCACTATAGTGCTAGAGGAGCACACTGAACGTCCATAGGAAAGCATTGAGTAATGCTTTCCTATGGGCGGTTTGAATGCGTGCGCAGTCGCATTCGGAACTGAGAGCCTGAGGGATCCTCAGCGCCAAGGGAGTCCGGCGCTGGAGAAAGGTAAGTGCTGAAGACACACACACACTTACAGACGCATACACACTAGCTAACAGACACACACATTTACTGACAGAGACACAGTCAGCGACAGACATACACACTCACTTACAAAACATACACTCTCATTGACAAACACACACTCACTAACAGACATCAAACAGACTCACTAACACACACTCAGTAAGACACACACAGTAACACACTCACTGACACTCACTAGCAGACACACACTCACTCTAACACACACTAGCAGACACACACTAACACTCACACTAACACTCACTAGCAGACACACACACTAACACTCACACGCACTCAAACACAAACACTAGTTTTTTTTTAAATTAATCCCCCCAGCCTCCTTACCTTTTGGAGTGCTGGGGGGATTATTCCCTGGGGTCCAGTGGGGCTCCTGGGCGGGTGGCCGGTCGGGCAGGCAGGCGGGCGCGCGAGGGAGCACTCAGTGCTTCCTCTTCAGCTCCCTCGCGCGCCGCGTAGGGATGCCGGAGCCGGAAGATGACGTCATCTTCCGGCTCCGGTATCAGTGCGGTGCGCGAGGGAGCTGAAGAGGAAGCACTGAGTGCTCCCTCGCGCGCCCGCCTGCCTGCCCGACCGGCCACCCCAGGGGTCAGCAGGGCCAGCCTCGGGGGGCCCTGGGGTGGTCGGCTCCTGGGCCCCCCAGGGGAAGAGGCTGGCCCTGTGGCTACATACCGGGTCGCAGGGGCGGCCGGGCCCCCTGGTGGGCCGGGCCCGGTCGCAGCCGCGACCCCTGCGACCCTGGTATGTACGCCACTGGTCCCTCTAATTTAAGACTATGTCCTCTTGTTGTGGTAGTTTTTCTTCTTTTAAATATAGTCTCCTCCTTTACTGTGTTGATTCGCTTTATGTTTCTATCATATCCCCCCGTCTCGTCTTTCCTCCAAGCTATATATGTTAAGAGCCTTTAACCTTTCCTTGTAAGTTTTATGCTGCAATCCATGAACCAGTTTAGTAGCCCTTCTCTGAACTCTCTCCAAAGTATCAATATCCTTCTTGAGATACGGTCTCCAGTATTGCGTACAATACTCCAAGTGAGGTCTCACCAGTGTTCTGTACAATGGCATGATCACTTCCCTCTTTCTACTGCTAATACCTCTCCCTATACAACCAAGCATTCTGCTAGCATTTCCTGCTGCTCTGTTACATTGTCTGCCTACCTTTAAGTCATCAGAAATAATCACCCCTAAATCCCTTTCCTCAGATGTAGAGGTTAGGACTCTATCAAATATTCTGTACTCTGCCCTTGGGTTTTTACGTCCAAGATGCTTTATCTTGCACTTATCCACATTAAATTTCAGTTGCCAAAACTCTGACCATTTTTCTAGTTTACCTAAATCATTTGCCATTTAGCTTATCCCTCCTGGAACATCAACCCTGTTACATATCTTAATAGCATCAGCAAAAAGACATACCTTACCATCAAGACCTTTTGCAATATCACTAATAAAAATATTAAAGAGAATTAATGCTAACGGTCGTTCTCTCTGTCTGGAGTACAAAAGTACATACGTCACATGAACAGAGCCTTTTAAAGTGCATTGGGCAAGGACCCCAACCATGTGTCACTGTGTGTATCTGTAACAGGGTGCATTTGTATGTGTCAGGGTGTGTGTCAGTCTGCATATCTTTTTCAGGGTGCAGAGCTGTATTTACCATTAGGCTAACAAGGCATTTGGGTGGCACTTTCCAGGGGGCTTGGGAAAAAAAAGCTGCTTACACATGCCTTTAACTTTAATGCCAGAGTTATTTGATTCAAAATTTGTTTAAAGTGGCTTTAGATTTGTAGTAAAATATATTAAACAATAAGACAATGAGGCAATATGGAAGTAAGTTGCAAGTTTTACCAAAGGTTCCACAGTCTGTGCGAAAATTAATTATTTCTCATCTTATAAAGTCTGTTATAATTTACACGACCACAGAGTTCTCTTGTTATCGCAGGTTTCAGCAAAATTTGCTTCGAACAAAATGAGCACTCTATTGGAGGGGTAGGCAACCCTGGATGTTCTGGACTACACTCACCATAATGCTCTTACAGGCATAATGCTGGCAAAGCATCAGGAGAGATGTAGTCCACAACATATGGAGTGACGAAAGTTGCCGACCCCCAATAGGGTATACTTTTTTGACTTTGCTTATTTGTTTATTGTTATTTTCTTTATTTGAAGAGATAGAGAGAGATATATACTTCTTGACTTTCTTCTGTGACATGAAAATCAAGGGGCACACATTTGATAGCTAGACATTTTGGGGGACAGTAGAGAGTGCCTGAAATTCTGTGCTGCATTCTGCAGGCCACTGAAGGTTAGGTAGGATTTAAGTCTTCCCCTAATCCTGTATTGATAAAGAAGGCTCCAAAAGACTTACTTCCTGAAATCATCATGTATTGACAAGAAAATTACAAAATGTGGGGTATTTTGGATCAAATGTCGCATTTCTATTGTAAGTTGGTCACATTTTGCTCTTTAGTAAATAACCCTCTAAGAGATCAGTGTAATATGTAAGACGTTATCTGAGCGATTACTTAAAAAATAAATAATTTGGGCAGCTTAAGTCATGAGCACATAGTAATATATCCGTGTTGACTTGCACTGACTCATGATAAGTCTCATGTCAGTTAGTCATCAGGATCCACTAACTGATAATATTAATTAACAAAGTATATAACAGCTTGCTGGTGACATTATCATCATACAACACCACAGGCATTCAGAATGGACCCCAGCTCTCACAAACGCTATCATCTACATGAATGGGAACCAACAGACTTGTTTAATGCATATTATTCTGGAACAAGTGAAAAATATATCACTGAAGAGACTGTGAGGTTTCCAGTTGAACAGCTTTATAAAGTGGCAGGACAAGGTATGCTATGTTTAATACATTAATACGTTTAAAAAACACTACACATTCTCATTGGTATTACAATATATATTTTTAAATTCTTTATTTTTTGCAGTGCATAGAGTAACATACAGGACTTCATAGTAAAACAATGAGTTAAAAATAAAAGAGTAGCTTAGTACACCACAGGTAATGCACTTTTTGTGTAATGGTATAAGCACTATGCACAGCCTTTCAGTGAGTAGCAGGGGGAAAATTAACATAATGAGCGTCACCAGGTCTGTGGTAGAAATCATAAGAGTAAATAAGGAATAAAAACATACAGCTTGTCTATAAGTGTAAGCTTCCAGGATAAGCTTCTATAATTGTAAGCTTCCCAATCAGATTATGTGTGAAACACATGTGTAGTTGTATAATGCTTCTAAAATAAACGTTTTCTTAGGATTTTTTTTAACCCCTTAAGGACTGAGCCAAATGTACACATTGTGATCAAAACAAAACGTAAACAAAAACTTGAGTTTGCGCTATATTTCTGTTCTGGCGTAATTCACCTCTTTCATATTATGTGCACCCACACTTATTATATATCATTTTATTCAGGGGAAACATGGCTTTCATTTAACATCTAATATTTCGGTATGACACATAATTTAATATGAATAAAATGTAAAAAAATGGAAGAAAATAAGAATTTACATTTTTTTTTAGTTCTACGTGACATTCTAACTGTGAATGTCATAATACTGTTTGCTTTTACTGCAATAAAATACACATATTTGTATTCAGCGATGTCTCACGTGTAAAACAGTACCCCGTATGAACAGGTTTTATGGTGTTTTGGGAAGTTACAGGGTCAAATATAGCTTGTTATATTTTTCAGTTTTTTCACCTTTAAATTCGCCAGATTGGTTACGTTGCCTTTGAGACTGTATGGTAGCCCAGGAATGAGAATTACCCCCATGATGGCATATCATTTGCAAAAGTAGACAACCCAAGGTATTGCAAATGTCATATGTCCAGTCTTTTTTAGTAGCCACTTGGTCACAAACACTGGCCAAAGTTAGTGTTAATATTTGTTTGAGTGTGAAAAATGCAAACAACTAATTTGAACGCCAATTTTGGCCAGTGTTTGTGACTAAGTGGCTACTAAAAAAGACTGGACATACCCCATTTGCAATACCTTGGGTTGTCTACTATTGCAAATGGTATGCCATCATAGGGGTAATTTTCATTCCTGGGCTACCATCCGGTCTCAAAGGCAACATAACCAACCTGGCGAATTTTAATGTGAAAAAACTGAAACGCAAGCCTTATATTTGACTCTGTAACTTATATTTGTGTTCAGCGAAGTCTTCCGAGTAAAACAGTACCACCCATGTACAGGTTTTATGGTGTCTTGGAAAGTTACAGGGTTAAATATAGTGCTAGCAAATTAAATTCCCTGGACTTTTGGCCTGGGTTGTCAGGCAGGTCTCGCAAATTGTAATTAATAAAAGGACCTAACTATGTAAAATTATTACATAAATATATACGTAGAATTATTATTTTATATATATATATATATATATATATATACTTGTGTATATATATATATATGTATATATATATATGTATATAATTTTTTTTAAATTACTTTTATTTATATATAGGTATATACATAGTGATATATACGTATATACTTAAGTATATAGATATATATATTATTTTGTTCTACATGTATTTTGATATCTATATATAAGTACATATATATATATATATATATATATAAATTTAAAAATACAGTTATAATGAATTTACACGTAAATATTTATTTTTATTTATTTTTATTATTTTTTGTTTTATTTTTCATGTATTTACATATTTATTTATTTTATATTATATATAAATATATATATATAATGAAAATTATATATATTTTAATCAATATCATTCTATATGTATTTTGAGATATATATATATATATATATATATATATAATTATATATATATTCATATTAAAATACACTTAGACAGTGTATGTGTATATATATATATTTTGATCATATATATAATAAATATATATATATATATGATCTAAGTATATATTTTATTTTAAACTGTAACTTTAACTTTTACTTTATTATTTTCAGGCAGCAGGGGGAGTACCTGTCATTACAGGCAATCCCCCAGCTGGCATTGCTATGGACGGCTATGCCGTCCATGTGATCGTGAGGTCCTCGCAAGGACCTCGCGATCACATGGCCCAGGGGGCCGGAAAGGATGGAGAGGGATTCCCTGGGCTGCCAGGTGAGTCCCCACACCGTGATCCGGCGACCGGGTAAGTACATAGGCTTGGGTGTTCTATGCCGTACTTGGGGACCCGGCTCTAAACGCCAGCGGGCGGCATAGAACGCCGTCCTTAAGGGGTTAAAGTTTGTAAAATGAGTGAAGTCTTAATTCTTCAAAAAAATTATCAACCATAGGAAAGCCTTGATGGGTGGCTTGGAAGTGGAGTTGTAAAGATGAAGAAACATGTTCTAAAATTATATGAAATATTTCATAGTAATTGTTTTTGATATTCAAAAGTAAAAACCAGATTATAAACAAAGGAAAGTTATTTTTGCTTTGTTTGTTTATTTCTTTTTTTTAATGTTGGTTATTTTTATACGCAGGTCAAATTCAAGGAGACTATTTGATTGATATTTCTGCTGGCTGTAACATTCACCATCTATTGCCCATTTTTGAGTTTTTCAGAGACATCACTATTTTAGAATCTAGTGATCTCTGTGTGAAGGAACTAGTGAAATGGAAGCATAAGGAGTCTAAAAACTATGACTGGACTCACGTCTTATCGATTATGGCAGAATTGCAAGGTACAAGGTAAGGATCTAGCTACCAGCCATGTTTTTGATGATTATTGAATTAAAAAAAATGTCCATAAACTCTTCTGAAACATATTTTAACAAGTTATTTAGAGATGTAATAGAGAACTGGAAGGCAAATATATCCATGTAGTCGATCAGGGACAGAATTGTGTTCTTTTTGACTATTCATTTATTGTTTATATTCTCTGTTACATAGACATGCACATGTCTAAAAAGAATGGATGAGTCTCTCTATAAAGACATTGATTCTTAAAGACTCATTAGTGAAATGTAAAACAGCTAGTGATCACTTTGCAACTTACCTGCGTAACAACGGCTCAGAGTTATGACCAGCTCTGAAGCGCTGAGATTCGACGTTAGGTTAGAGGGATTCCCTTCTCTGGTGAGCTGGTCTATGTTCAGGGGAATTTTCCTTGAACGTAGATTCGATGGATTTCCTGCGCTAGTGAGATGGTCAATCTCAGGGAATTCCCCTCAACATTGACCTTCCCTCTAGTGCATCCTCAGTTACTGACTAATTAATTTACGTAAGAGCGGAACCTGGTCGGTAAGTGAGGATCATCTGTAATACAAAAACCAGTCCGCCACTTTCCCAATGTAGAGTGTTTTTATTTTGTTATGATAACATTTTATCATCAATGTACAAAAAGATGAATAAATAGATTATGTTTCGAATACAAAGCCCCATGGCCGCCATCAGGGGGTGACAACTATGATGGTTGTCATGGGCCTGGCGGCCCTGGGGGGCCCGGCCGCCCGGGCCCCACAAGGAGCGGCGGAACTGCCACTGGTGCATCTGCATCAGGGCCCATCAGGTGGCCCAAGCATTTAGGGCCACCTGATGAGCCCTATATCTCCAGGGGCCTGGTCAGTGCTGTAATAGCGCGACCGGGCCCCTTTAAAAAAAAATTGCAGCTGCATCGCAAGTTCTGCTGGGAGGAAATGACGGCCGGTCACTTCCTCCCAGCTTACTCCGCGCGAGGGGAGAGACGGCCTGAAGGCGGAGTGGAGAGGCATCCAAAGCCCATCACCCGAGCCACCCTCCTGCAATGTAAAGGTAAGTAAAAGGAGGGTGACTGAAAAATGAGGTGTGTTTGTATGTATTTATGCATGTGAGTATGTATCTGTATGTGTCAGTATGTATGTAATGTATGTCACTATGTGTATGTATGTATGTATGCCAGTATGTATGTATGTATATATCAGTATGTGTGTGTGTCTCTGTATGTATGTCATTATGTATGTATGTCAGTACGTATGTAATGTATGTCAGTATGTGTATGTATGTATGTATGTGTATGTATATATCAATATGTGTGTGTGTGTCTGTATGAATGTCATTATATATGTAAATCAGTATGTATGTATGTCAGTATGTATTTATGTGTATGTATTTGTCTGTTTGTCAGTATGTATGTATGTATGTCTGTATGTATATATGTGTGTGTGTGTCTGTATGTCAGTATGTATGTGTGTGTGTGTGTGTATCTATATCTCCTTATGCATGTGTGTGTCTATGTATATTAGTATGTATCTCTGTATATGTGTGTGTCTGTTTCACTATGTGTGTGTCAGTATGCCTGTATGTGTATATGTCTGTTTCAGTATTTGTGTCTGTTTGTTAGTATGTGTGTATCTTTCTTTGTGTTTGTGTGTCTGTGTTTGTGTCTGTGTGTGTATTCCTGTGGGCGTGATTTGGAGGCGGTCCCTGGGGGCGGGCTTGGAGGCGGGCAACCAGGGGCCCAGGCCTTGAGCTGTGTTAGGGCCCCCAAAATGTCTGATGGCGGCCCTGCAAAGCCCTACTATAAATTATCAGTAAAATTGTGTCTGAACTTTGTGATCCTATTGAAGAAACAATTTGGAGAGATGCAAAATGTGTCTAGCTTTTTTTTATATACTATGTTCATTAAGTATGCTTATTTTTACATACTCATTTATTCCTAATTATTATGTTGAATTTTTGTAATATCAAATAAAGAGGTAGATTTCTGGGAAATCCTGCTACCCGTCTCTTCAATAGTAGTGCAAAGCATAGACATAATTTTTTTTTTGATTATCATGCACCTCTTTCAGGTTAGGTGGCTTTGCTCTGCCCAACATAGACCAAAAGTTTAGCTTGTTTAGGAAGTGTCTGCCACAGAGACATTGTTGGGTTTCTAGGTTTCAAAGACACCAGAAGTGTGAGCCCAAATTAAACCTTACTGACACCTGCCCACAACATGCAAGAGTGTATCACAGAGATCCCAAGCAATATGCAAGAGTGTATCACAGAGATACAACTCACTCTAAACTTAAAATCATGGTGTGTATGAGTGTATCACAAAGCTCCACAGAAATGATGCTATGAGAAATGTGCAATGTGTATAAGTGTACTACAGAGCTCCATAGCAATACATTTCACAACCTCACCAAAACAAAACTCTCAGGAATAGTTTATGAAAATAATAAAAACACACATTTTATGTGTGCAGAATAAGGATTTGAAGTGAAAAAAGAGCCAAATAAAAAGTAATAAAATAAAATAAAAATGAAAATAACAATAACCCCCCACCCGACTATTTCAATTTTATAGGAATCTTTCACAGGTGGTATAAATTAGTCCCAAATTAATCAAGACACCACAAATCAAATTTCATATGTAGGCTGTTGGATTAGTCAGTTTTTCATCCAAAAGCTTCTCTATAAGTCAATTTTTTTATCCTATTACACTTTCTTCAGTCTACCTGTTATAAAAGAATGACAAAAAAAATAAAGCTTTTTTAAACTAAAATGTGTAGAGAATGCTCATGATGCTCAATGTAATCACAAAAATTATTTAGCGATAATACACCTCCTTCCAAACCAATAATATGTCATCTATATATCAACATCATAGTACCAAGCTCTGCATTACCCCAGATATATTTAGATTCCCAGTCCCTCATGTAAATATTTGTATATTTGTGCATCTTACCCCTTATACACACAAACACACACACACACATACACACACCCACCCAAACACACACACACACATATATATATATATATATATATATATATATATATATATATATATATTTATATATATGTATAGCATTAATGTATTATTTGCCCCCAGGTGTCAATATAGGCAGAAATATATGTTTACCTAAATATATACAAACACATGTTTTGAATACTGTTTACATATACTGTAACTGTTCTCTCTAGTGGTTGTGGTGCTTGGACTGTTTTGTTTCTTAGTCACATTTATTTTAAATATTCCCATCCAAAAATAAACATTAGAAGCTTGCAATAGATTTGTTTTATTTATTTATTTACTTTTTTTCTTAAATGAAAAACTGGTGGGTCTTAGGCCCAATTGCTCATATGGACAAGTATTTCATGTTTATTATGAAGACATGCCAAACAGAAAAAAGTGGATGAAATTACCCAACCAAGTAGTAGCTGATATGAGTTTAAAACTTAACTTTTAATACTAACAGAATAAAAGAAAAAAATGAACAACGAAATAAATACAAAACATACTCAATATTGCAAAATCCCAGAATGCAAGATGCACAAAGTCATGAAAAAATGAAGTATATACACAGAAACAATAAGAAACAAAATAAGGTTAATTCTTACCTCTAGCCTAGAATGACAGGCTATGATATCTGTTAGTAAGGATTGTTATTCTGTAGCAATATCAACAAACAGTTGCTTGATAGCCCTTAAAATGTTGGTTGCAGTCCAGACATAGTATTATGAGCTCCTGTTCAGAGCTGTAGGGCAACACCACCTAAGCAGTGCTTTCAGGTTGCTGGTTTTGAACAAAATTACAACGTAAAAACTGTCTAGGAAAGTCTAGAGACATGAGCTCCAATTTTGCTCCCATTTTAGTTATTTTATTATGAAGACATGCTTTACCAAAAAAAGACAGCATCATTTAGGTGTATCAATCATAAAAATTGATGACTATGTGGGTAGTAATGTGACCTCATATGATGTTTCTTTTTATGACATAATGTAGCGTAGCAGCACAATTTCACAACATGCATTGTTAGAATCATTATATATTACATGGCATTTCCAGAAATCTATTTACTTATTGGCAAATAAATACTAGATTTGTGAAAAAATTCAACAAATTGATTTGTCTGAAAAAAATTACTTTGATGCATATTCAAACTAATTGATTTTTTCTGAAAATAAATGGAAAATCCAACTCTGAAATTCAACACTAACGGAAACAGCTCATCCGCTTAAAACAAATTGAGGGGTTTTGATATGAACAAATCAGTTAATTCTCAGATTACTCATAATGTTTATGGATAAACTGAACATTTGCACAAGTCTAATAGATATTTTGAGCAATTTAGCAAAACTTATTTCCAAATAAGTAAAAACAAAACAGAACAAATCAATTCTCCTTATAAACACATACTACAGATCACGTGTTATATGTGTCTCCATTGTATGTATGTATTAAACTTTTAGCCACCTGGTTATATTTTTCAGCTTTAAGGGTAATGAAATGGAAAATGCTTTAAGAAGAAATATCTCACACATTTTAAACTGTGATTTCACCAAGGAAAACATTACAGATCCAGTCGTTCTACCAAAAGCAGACTGCGTGGTCAGTTTGTACGTTTTCCATGTGGTTTCTGAAGATCTAGTCGAATATTGCCGGAACCTGAAAAAAGTGTCATGCTTGCTAAAACTGGGTGGGCATCTACTGCTATTAGGATTATTTAATGGAAAATATTATACTGTAGATGGGAGCAAATATCACGTATTAACATCTGATAAAAAGTCAATAGAGGAGGCTCTGATAGATGCAGGATTTGTTATCGAACATATTGAAGTGATAGAAAGCAAAATGCGCAATGATACAACATATTGTGAACATATGTTTTTTATTAAGGCCTTAAAAAAGAGCAATGTACTTGTTTAATTTGGGACTTCACCGAATATTCCATCTTAAAGGGAATGCATACTTAAAAATGGATTCCCTCTTTTCAAAATTATTTAGATAGTACACTAATGAAAATTATATCAACAAACTAAGTAACCCTTTTAACATTCCTAATGCTTGCTATTGACAATTGCATAACGCAGTGGTAGACAGACCCTATTTCAGTAGGGAAGTGACTTACAAATCTCTATCAGGGAATGAACATGAGCTCAGATGTTGTGTACACATATTGCATGCTGTGCAAAATATGGACAACACTGATTAAGGTAGCCCGGAACTAAATGTTCCACCTGCCTGAGTGACAGGTCTGGTGGGCTGACTTTTAACTGCAATAATTTCTAAAACATCATTGTAGCTGTGAGTCCCTTTCCGAGCTGAGGGTTGGTTCAGGGTAATTTCTGCACTCAAAATGTTTGCAATTATGCAAAGTTGTTATGATGTTAAGATTGGCACAATTGTTATAGCTAAATATGGCATTAAAACCAATCTTTAAAAATAAAAAAATCTATCATATTTTTCTCAGCATGCTTCATTCTCACAGTTGTAGATCGAAAGAAATTATCTTTAACATGTATGTTCTTTGGAACATTTCTTTAGATTGTAAGCTTTTGGGCAGGACTGTCAAAATCTACCATGTTGCTTGTGGAATCAATTATTATGTTATTATTTATATTGCACCAACAGATTCCGTAGCGCTTTACAGTGCTTTACTACTAATAATGATAATTTTTAAATGATTTTAAATGATTTAAATTGCAGCATAAATAACCAACACAAATAAAAACTCTATATAAAAATGTTTATTGTTTCATTTTAAATTCATTGTTTTCTTAAATTGATTGTTTTTTATACTGTTTTATTTTATGAGAAAAACATGCCAAGGATATTGGAATATATGTTCATGAAATGTATGATGTTAGGAATAAAATAGTGAATAAACAAGAAAAATAAAAATTGTTGATTTAAGTCAGTATGTAGCTTATCAAAGACAAACAATGTGAATTAGGTTATATTGCACCCGGGATGGAAATCTATATTAGCACCGCCGCATAAAAAAAAATAAAAAATGCAAAATCCCAATAAAGAGACAAATAATCATCTGATAATGAATAATATGACACAGATTTGCTAAATCAGTAGTGCTCCACGTGGTGGAGTCTATAAATATAGGGGAAATGGGCAGAATTTAACACTAGCTAAACACATTATTACAAAGTATACAGTGACTCTGAAGGCTTTATGTAACAGTGCTGATGAAGTCACTGGTAATTAGAATATGTAGCTACAGTTAACAGGAGGATATTATAATTATTTTTGTATCTCACAATGTTCTCCCCAACACTATCTTTTTTTATTATTCTTTATTTTTGTTGTGTTTGAAGTGAATAAAGGTATCACAGGGTACATTAGATAAATTGCAAACCAGAATATGCATAGAGATATTTCAGCATATTTTACAATAATTAACAAGAAAGATGGACACAGTGTGACTTGAGAAGAAAAGCATTTTGGCTTTGGAGAAACATACTGTGTGCGTCAGATTAAGCCCGATAGGGTAGAGGGTGTTAAAGAGGGAGCTATAACTATGCTTAAATGGGTAGAATGAGTTCCCTAGGAGGTCCCCAGGTTGGTGGGACAACAAGATGTGTAAGTCCCAGCCTACAGAGATGTAGACACCTAGGAAGTTAGGAATAAGGAGGCAAGTCTCCCGGCATACACAGTGAGGAGAGGAAAGGTGAGTGGTATTATGTCTTTTAGTGTCTGATCTGGGATCCAAGCTCATTCCACGCTGACTTAGAGCAAAGCAAGGTCCAGTCGTACATCGAGATGGGCAGGCTCTGGATGTTCCAGCTCTGTACAGGCTCACCATGTGATCCAGCATTAAGCCACCTCTGGCGATTCTCAGGCACTTTAAAAGTCCCAGCTTTGGCTCGTGGGGGGGTTTCCGCCTGCGTGCCACCTGCTGTCGGAGGGATGGGAGTCTCCCGCCTCGCTGCCATTTTGTGGCCTTCGTGCCTGTCAGGGCAGCAAATATTTGCTGCGGGGGCGCAATCGGCTGTGGAGGTGGGTGTACCTGCGGCTGCACTGGGTCAGACTGATGCATTCTGTCCTCTAGCTTCTGCCAGAAATAATCAAATATTTTGTTGAGCCTGGAGAGCAGGTCAGTCTGGTCCTCAACGAAGTCAGAGTGCCATGTGGCGTCCATCTTTCTTGAAGGGTCACTTGTTGTCTCTGTGGGCTCACCAACCTATTCCTCTTGTAACTTTTTGTATTTGTCTCACTTATTGTTTAATTACCCCCTTTTTAATGGTGTAGAGCTCTACTGAATAACTTATGAAGAGAAAAAAAAACGGGTCACAAGAGTATTCTGAGAACAGACAGCAGCTGAAATAGCCTGCCCTTCGGTGGGTGCCTGCTCAGAACTCAAGCTGGTTTTAGCTCATCTTGTGCCATTACAGAGAGAACATATCTGAAGCATATCAAACTGGTCCCACCCATACGGGCAGTCCAGATCCGAAATGCCAGCAAGTTCTCTCTGCACGAAAGATACAGAAACCCCAGGTGATCGTTTCAGCCTTGTTAGGCATCATCAGTGATGCATAGCTGATATCTCTCTAGGCACTCTTGCGACCCATTTTTTGCTCTCCATAAGTTTAAAGGGTATTCCAGACGTGAACCCCTTGCTCACGGTGCCCAGGGAGATATCAGCTATGCCTCACTAATGATGGCTAACAAGGCTGAAATGTTTGTTTGGGGTTGCTGTATCTCTCGTGCAGAGAGAACTTGCTGGCATTTCGGATCTGGACTGCCCATATGGGTGGGACCAGTTTGATATGCTTCAGATATGTTCTCTCTGTAATAGCACAAGATGAGCTAAAACCAGCTTGAGTTCTGAGCAGGGGACCCACTGAAGGGCAGGCTATTTCAGCTGCTGTACATTCTCAGAATACTCTTGTGACCCGTTTTTGATCTCCATAAGTTTAAAAGGTAATCCAGACGTCGACCCCTCGCTCATAGTGCCTAGAGAGATATCAGCTATGCCTCACTGATGATGCTTAACAAGGCTGAAACGATCGCCTGGGGTTGCTGTATATCTTGTGCAGAGAGAAATTGCTGGCATTTCGGATTTGGACTGCCTGCAGGGCTCGAGTCCTGCAGGAACGCATGGGAACGGCATTCCTGCACTTTTTCCAAAGCAGGAATGCTGTTCCCGCTAGTGATCCTGCAGGACCGGCACAGGGGGAGCAATGTCGCTGTGCTGCCTCATTTCTCCCAGTCCCCAGCATAGTGCCGCCCACAATACACTGTCTGCTGTTGGTGGTATAATGGCTGTCAAGATGCAGGCGATGTGCCTGCTCACACTACTCTCCCCTGCGGTAGAGGAGTGAAGATTGCAGTGGGCTGGGCATTTTACATCACTTCCTGTTAGACCCTGCTAGAGGATTACTGAGCAGGGAGAGCTAAGAACATCTCTTTTCAGCTACTTACACCACCAACGGAAAGCAGCCATGTTTTATTTATTTTTTCATGACATAATTATGTATCTAGCACAGAGCTCCACAGAGCTAAATTGTATAGTTCATGTGGAGCTCTGTGTTTTATTGGTCCAACAGTGCCACCTCACTTCTATTCTTCTTATGCTTCCTCTCCCCCATCACTAGAAGCCATCCCTCACACACCCCTATCACTAGAAGCCAATACTCACACACCCCCATCACTAGAAGCCAGGGCCAGATTAAGAGCCCAGTGGGCCTGGGGCTGACAATTATGACGGGCCTAATTACAGAATCATATCGACCAAAAACAGTAAAACACTCCCAAGCATCATGTATCTGATGGAGATGGTGCTGGAGAGAAAGAAAACAGCAGCTGTAAGAAAAGGCTAATCTCTCTCTAATTTATGTTTTCATCTTTCAGGTAAATCCATAACCCCTAACAGCAGTGTCCAGTCAGGCAGGAAGTCAATGGGCATGGTAAAAGGGTGAGCCACTGACACAAATCACGTAGCCTGCCAAAAGGGGCGAACATGCCCAAAAAGAGGACATGTCTGCTCAAAGAATTAGAAGGCCAGCCTGGCATGAATGCATGTCAGGCTGCCTGCCAATCATGCAGCTGGCCAACTAAGGGCATACTATGCAGACAGCACCCTGAGCTTGGCATAAATGCATCTAATGATGCGCTCACTCAACGCTTTCTAAGGACTGTCCCCTAGCACTCGCTGGTCCACTTACCTTCTTACTAGCAGGCAGAAGCTCCTGGTATATGGTCTGGGACAGAGAAAAGCTGTATGTAGTGAGTGTAGAAGAAAGGGAACATGTCACAGTATTAGAGAGACCAAAGTCAGCATTACCTTAAAGGATCACTATAGGGTCAGGAACACAAACATGAATTCATGACCCTATAGTGTTAACACCACCATCTAACCCCCTGGGCCCCTCATGCCTCCATAAATATAGCAAAATCGTACTATATTCAAGCCCAAAGCTGTAACTCTGCATGCTGTTAGACTCATAAAACAAGCAGTCTGCTGACATCATTAGAAGTGGTGGCCTGATCCAAGCACAGTGCTTCCCCATAGGATTGGCTGAGACTGACAAAGAGGCAGATCAGGGTCAGAGCCAGCATGATTCAAACACAGCCCTGGCCAATCAGCATCTCCTTATATAGATGAATTTAATTAATGAATCTCTATGAGGAAAGTTCAGTGTCTGCATGCAGAGGGAGGAGACACTGAATGTTTGGATGCATTTTAGGCAGCCATGACCCAGGAAGGATCTCTAACAGTCATCTAAGGAGTGGCCAGTGAAGTTATCACTAGGATGTAATGTAAAGACTGCATGTTCTCTGTGTTTACAGCAAAAAGCCTGACAGTAATGATTCTACTCACCAGAACAAATTCAATAAGCTGTAGTTGTTCTGGTGACTATAGTGTCCCTTTAACTATATTCATTGTCAGCCAGTCCACACATGTTTGTTTCCATACATCCCACTTAAGTTTCCATACTTAAGTAAGAGTATGTGAAAAGTAGTTAGGTTTGCCACCTTTCTTGAAAAAAAAGGAGTGACATAAGAGAAAATGCTGTAAAATCACCAAAAAACTACTTAGTTTGATTCTGCTGTATAGATGGATTCCTCCCAGTGCTCCTATGCCTCCCAGTGTCCTCATGACTCAGTGCCCCCATGTGTTGATTACTCCAGGTCTCAGTGTTCCTATGTATCAGTGTCTCAGTGCCCCATGTCTCCCAGTGTCATGTCCCCAGGTCTCCCAGTGATCCTATGTATCACAGTGTCTCAATGCCCCATGTCTCCCTGTGTCCCTATGTATCCCAGGGTCCCCATGTCACTAGGACATTAGGAAGATGGGGAGACCTCGGGACACGGTGAGACCTAGGGACACGGAGACACAAGTGACACTGGGAGACTAGGGGACTCTGGCTGGGACACATGGGTACAATGGGAAAATAGGGGACACTTGAAGACATGGGGACACAGACACCAGGGACAAAGACACAAGAGACACTGGCTGGGGGACATAGGGACATTGAGACATGGGGGCACTGGGAGACATGGGGACACTGAGACACCAGGACCACAGACACTAGGGACACTAGCTTGGAGACATGGGGACATTGTGACACTTGAGGCAATGAGAGACATGGAGGCACTAGGAGACATGG